CCCCAAAACCCCAAAACCCCAAAACCCCAAAACCCCGATTGTTGATATATTGATGATTATTTATCGAATAAGATTAGTTGAAAATTAAAGTTAATATTCTTACTATTATTATTGTCATTCCTTAAGCAAATAAAATCTGGGCATGTTCAATTAGCTTTAACTCTTTTTTAACTCTATTTTCATCGCATTTAGCTCCTCTATCTTTGATACTTCCTTTGGCTACTAAGCAGTTTTCTCAGCTTCTCTTTTAAGTTTGTATGCCAATTTAGGTAACTTTCGTTTATATTTGAATTAGGAATCAATCTAATTACAATAAAACTAATATAATTATTACCTGAAACATTTGCTTTACATCTTACTCAGAGAATTCAGTATTAAACCCACTTGTCATAGTGTTTGCCCCTTCTTAAGCCTTTGACTTAGATCTTAACTTGAATAGCTTGTCTGACATATCAGGATATTTGCCAAAGTATTGCTAGTTTAAATCACTCTCACTTCTCTTTTTATCCCCCATCAGAGAGCTGTATAAAGTTTGCTATTGATTTTGAATAGTCTAGCCATTCTAACTTTTCCCGAAACTTGTTGATGTCTACATTAGTTGTTTTTACTATTTGTGAAATTTTTGTAAATTAGGCTACGAGTTATTTGCTTATAGTTGGTGACTTTGCTATTTTTGCTGCAAAAATATCCTCTCTTTGTCTTCGCCAACAACTATATTTCTACTGAGTTGCTTGATCAGCTCTCCTAGTTTAAAGTTGGAGTTTGACCCGCTGCTCTCATTGAATCTACTTTTCACACTGATATGCATGTCTTTGAAATAATTGGAAGTACTATGGTCCCTTGAAGTCTGAAATCCAGATTGAAAATTAAGAGGAGCTCATTCATATTTTGGCTACAAGGATCTATGAATCAAGAATGAGTTCATTGATTACGATTGATTTGATATACCTGGAGACAGGTCATGTTACTATTATAGCTGCAGCTGCTGCAGTTTGACTTGAGTATTCTTGAGTGAATTCAGAAAATTAGACTTAGTTTAGCTTTAGGATTGCTGCATTCGTGATGCTCTCGACCTACTGCTATTTTCCATTATTAATAAATTTGGCTTATTTACAATAATTGAATGTTTTGAATTAAATAACTCATACTGGGGTTTTGGGGTTTTGGGGTTTTGGGG